AATTTGCAAAAAAATTAAGACACAAAATGACTCTTTTAATGCATATGAATCAGCATTAATGTTGTTATTTTACAGACATTTCTTTTTATTTTAAAAATAAATGGATATTAATGACAAATAACTGACATTTTACAGATTTTCCCTATTTTGTTAAAACCTGAAGTTTTGTTTAAACAAAAAAAAAAGTATAAATTTACCAGTTAACTGTGAAAAAAACAAACTTTAGTGTTTTACAGTGTATGTTAATTCAAATGTAATAGAATTTTTAACATGTATTTTCTATTATCTTCACTCTTTCTACAGTTTTTAAACATTTCTGTGTTACAGCTTTTATTATTATTATTATTTTTTTACATATTATTTCTTCCTGCCAAAGTTTCAAAGTTTTCTTTGTAAACATTTTTACAGTGTAGAGTACATGATGGTGGGATGTGTTTGTCTGTTATCAGAGGAGAGGAAGGAGCTCAGGGGTCAGTGTGTGTGACCAGCTGATCCACAGTGAGGCCGTGGAGGCCCCGTGTGGACCCTTCAACGTGCCTTTTTAATGCATTTCTGCAAAGACGCTGACTCGGGGTGTTTGAAAAACGTCACTCACCGTAGCAACAGCTCCTTGGGCAGCTTCTTATTGATGACCGCCTCATCGCTGTTTGTGAACATCTGAAAGAGCAGAGGAAGATCAAATCAGTCCTGGCAGCTCGTCTCAATGCGGCCGTCACTTCAAGGACGAGCCCTGGCACCAGGATAAATGACGGTAATCTCATCGGCGGAGATGGATTCAATGTCAATTCTTGGAAAACACACAAGATAAAGCACCGGGGGGAGACTTTGTACTGACGGCCTTTGAGTTCACGTTATCTCCCGTGCACGCTTATTCCTTGTTGCTTCTTCACACTGTTGAGCAAGACTCTCTAACGGGTTTCCACACCAGTAACTGCATGCCATGCGAGCACAGATTCAAGAAAATAAAGCCTCAGCAAACAAAAGAGTCGATAAATTAACATTTATTAGGCCCCAGACTGCAGGGTTCCCATAACTTGTGGCAGCGAGATTATGAAATGTCGTGTGGGAGCATCCACTCAGTCACTACAATGGAGCAACATCTGGCTCCATCCATTTTCCTCCATAGATTTAGAGATAAATCTAAAGAGGAGGAGGGGGGAGGCTTTAGGCGTGTAAATAAAAAAAAAAAAAAAAAACACGCACAAAGCCTCGCGTTATTTACGAGAGGCAAACATCTGTGACAAGATCAACAAGGCATTTGCAAAGTCCTTATTTGCACTCCACTACGGGTGCAAATATCACCGTGTAAGAAAGTAAATTAAATGTTTATTTATCGCAACAAAAAGGAATAATTTACAGGCCCCAGCAAGTAAAAAGTATTCAGTACAGGCTGAAATATCCACATCAAAAAAACAGTGTTTTTATAAATGATAATTCCTTCTATTACAACGCTTAACTAAACAATGATCCTATTCCTTACTGTTTGTAAATCAGCAAAAACTGATTTTTTAAACATGTGTTTGTTCTTATTCGAAAAATTAGGATTGAAATGTGGTAAATCTTTTTTTTTTTTTAAATACATATAATGTCTGGTAAAATCACAGATGGAACTATTCATTTAATTTACATGTTAAATGTAAAAAAATAAATAATAAAAAAAGGCTTTTTATTTTACTGTATGTAAATCCGCTATAAATATAAAAAGGAATAATTTAACTAGTAAAATCAAAGGAAGAGGCACTATGTTATATGTTAACCCTAAAAAACAGGACAAAAGTTGATCTAAAAAAATGTTCAAATATTTTTCTTTTTGTCTTACTTTTATAACATCCAATTATAAAATGAACTACTTTTAAAATCTGCAAAAAAATATATATATTTTATGGATATTTGTTGTTGTTGTTTTTTTTTTTTTTTAAAGAAAAAAAACATGTCTGTCAAGTCAAAATGCTGAATATTTCTTAACTTTATTCTTCAGATTAACCCAGTTTTACTAAATGACATATGATAAAACACACCATTTTGTTGTATTTTTAGAAAATAAATCATTGTTTACAGATACTTGCTGATATTTTAAGTGTTTTCACTGATATTTACAGTTTTAAACATGACAGTATTCCATCATTGCTGCTGGATTTTCCTTTTAAAAAAAAAAAAAATTTAAACAGATTTTGTTTTTGGTATTTACAGTGCATTGTAATTTTTTTAAAATTATTTATTTATTTATTTATTTATTTTTAAATCAACATTTTTAAACAGTTTCCCCTATATTCTTTCGGCCATTTACTGTTACTTTATATATTCTCACAGTTTTGTTAAATTACAGATAATAACAAGTTAAATCACAAAACAGCATCACAAAGTTGAGGCTCAAATCCAGAAGGCTTTTTCTGTGGGAGCCCCTCGGCTTTGGAACGACCTATCTGAGGAAATAAGGGTGGCAGACTCAGTATCTTCTTTTAAATCACTTCTTAAATCCCACTTCTATCGGCTCGCTTTCGAGTGACGTTCTCTTCTATTTGTCTTTTAGATTTTCACCTGTTTCTTTTCCCTTTTTATATTGGTGCTACCTGCTGTCCTTCTCTCTTTCCTCTTTCTTAATCTACTTTTATCTTCAGCTTTTATCTCCATTCCTCTGTGATGTCGTCTTTTTAATCAGTCTGACCAGCACACCATCCAATAGTGACCCAGTCTGTTCGTCTCCATTTTTATTGTGTGTAGTTTTATATTTTGAGTGTTTGCCTGCACTTCTTATACAAGTTGTTTTTCTCTATTATGTAAAAGAACTTTCTGTTCTTAAAAGAAGTGCTATACAAATAAAGTTTATTATATTACTTTACACATTAATCTGATAATTAAAGAGGCCAAAACTGTAAAAACCTTCATAACATCATCATCAATGACGTCTTTCTACAAACGGTAATTTGCTCTTTAACAATCATTGACCATTAAACAACTATTAATTTACATGTTAAGTGGAAAAAAAAAAAAGCAGGCCAAAACACTGAGGGATTTAACTGCATTTAAGTTAGCTAAAAATATAAAAAGGAATAAATTACAGGTCCCAGCAGAACGCATTCTGCCGTTTTAATTACGGGTGTGAAACCTAAAACCACACAATAGATCCTGATTTTCTTGCAACACATTCATCAGCTTGCAAAAACAAACTGTCATGTGAAATTAATGACAGAACCTTTTATTTAAAAAAAAAAAAATGCAGTCAGCTGCGGGTCAAAGCCTCCAACAGACGAGCAAACTGTCTGTCTGTAAAAATTTCGAGGCACTAAGAAGCGACGGGCATTTGGCGCTTTGCTTTTTTTTTTTTTTTTTTTTTTTTGGATTTGGGGCAAATCGAGTGCGACAGCTTCGCCTTGCAGAGAAGAGCGCTGCTTTCTGGCCAAATAATCCAGGGCAGTTTCCAAAGAGGCAGATGTGCAGCATGGTCAACGGGCAAACACTGTCCCCCTTTTGTAATCTAACATAAAATGAACCTGATGCTGCATGAATGTGAGCATTATGTTTTCTCCAGTGGTCAGCTATAGTCGGTGACGCAGGAGGTACGAAAAACAAAAAAAGCTGGGCGAGTTGCAGCTAAAAAAAAAAAAAGAAGCTAAAACTAAAAAAAGGGATTCTATAGATAGGGTCTGTATGGATACTGTGATTCTATAGATAGATGGAAATGTTATTTTCAGATCAACACCGACTACAAACGACCATTTTACTGCTATTTTTTCCAGCTTCCATCACGCTGGACGCAACATATCTAGTCTGTTGTATTATCAGATTTTTTTAAATATTTTATCTAATTTTCCACATTATGATCCTATAATTTGTCTTTTGTGTTTCAGTGGTTCTGAGCTGTAAACAAAAGCAAATTCCCCTTTAGGGACAACCCAGGGTATCTTATTTTATCACATCCTACTGGAAAGTATATTTACATTATATCCTGAATTACTATTTTTTTTAATCAGTAAGGGACGCAACTATGATTAGGCCACTTGAACACAGCTTCAGGTAAGTCTCCCCGACATCCGTGGACATTTTTGGAGATAAATGACAAATGAAATATGGTTTACGGAATCTGTAAAACAATGTATATGAAGGATTCTCTCCCAGTTACATTACAGGTAATCATAAAATATATATATGTTGACTGTTAAAAAACAAAACACAAGTCAAAATTGTCATCAAAAATCAGCAATTTTGCAAATCATAATGCGTTATTTTACAATATGTGACCGTAAAATTACACTTTTATTATTTTATCTTGTGTTTTCGAAAACTATTTTTTACTTTATGACCTGAAAAACTGAATGAGAGTTCAGGTTTGGGCTTATTCTCTGAGACAAATGATGAATGAAAGACAGTTAACGCAGTCTGTGACTGTTTGATTGAAACTTGCTTCTACTCATCACCCCACTCCTGCCTTTGACCACGACACCATTGTTATTTACATGTTGTGTTTAATGAGGGAACACAATCTGAGGCCGTCCACAGTTCAGCCCGTTGTGCTCCTTTGTTGGAGGCCGACATCCTGCAGAGCAGCAACACAACTTCCCCCGACGCCCGTCTGAGTAAAACTCTCTCCGAAGCAACATCTCGTCTCAGGCTTGTTACAAAGAACCTCCACGGACAAGGACGTTTGCATTACAAGCTTAAAATGATTCCTCAGAGCAGTCGATGCAACACAGAAACCAGTAAAACATGCCGTCTATTAATGTTTGTTTCAAATAATTTTGCAGTTTTCTGACTTTATAACAGACTCTAGACTCAATTTGCCGTCTGTCTTGAGCCTTTTTCTAGTGAAATAAAGGTCAAAAAGTACAAAATAAATAAATAAACTAGAGAGCAAAGCATCCATTAGGCTGCTCAAGCGTCTCAGCGACTGCATAATTTACAATCAAACAGCAAATGTGTTTATCTATACACCACATGTCTCCTACAGTTGGATAAATGATCCATCAGGCCACATGTGTACACAGTGAAAAACACAAGAAACGACAATCACAATATCTCTCAGATGTTTTCTCTGAAGCGTTCAACCTTTAAGACAACTTGAAACTGGTCATTATTTAAACTAAATGCTGGATCAGACCTGGGTGATTAAACACCAGCTATATGTTCAGGCGATACACACTTTATCAAACAGAAACGCAAAGTTCATTTGTCCCGAGGCGCGCTAGCCTGCAGCTTTCATTAGAATCGCTTTATTCTACATGTCTCAGAACAAAACTCACCATTTCGTAATAAAATTCTGCACGCTTTGGCGCAACCACGAAGAAAAGAGTGACTCGGCTGTGACCAACAGTCTTGTGATGAAAAACGTCAGGCTGTGTTTACGAAGCATCTATAATATGTAGAGTCGCCATTTAGAAGCACTAGGAATTTATTCTGGGGGTTTTTTTTCTTCAATTTTTGTAAAATAAATAGTCAAAGAACTTAAACTTTTGTTTGTGATATTTAAAAGCATTCTAACTGTGTCATAAGACATTTCTGAGTTCTCTCTTCTTTTTCACAGTTGTGCAAGACTTTATATTGACGTGAAAAACAAGCTAAAAGTGAGAAAAAACACCCATAAAATGCTTGGGGTGGTAGTAAACCTTGTTCTTCTCAAGAATCGTTGGATGTTTAATCTTTTCAACAGTCCATAAACTACTGTCATTCAGCAAAATGATCTAAATCTGAGCTTAAATTTCATCAAAATTACTTTATTGTTTACATGTCTCATTTAAAAATGTGCCAAAAATAAATTGCTTGCATTACCCAGATTCTGTCCAGAACAAACAATTCTACACTCCTCAGCACAACTGTAAACAAATAAATAAATGACTCAGCTGTAACTAACAGTCACATGAAAAAAAAATAAATCAGGAACTTCTCAGCTGATCTGCAGGTTTACACAGTGAAACAGCTCTTTAATTTTGAAGGCCAGCTCTCACCATTAGTGGTTCTCTCCCGTCCAGAAGAGCCCATAGTGAGTAAAAACGTGACGGATGAGACAAAACTTTTCAATCATGACGAAGATGTGTTGAAAATAAGTTGTGAACAACCTATATTATGCAGAATCACCATTTTCGTCAAGTATTGGTAACATCTGAGGGCATTGTGGACAATAGTGGACATGTTGATTCATGATTTTTTTAATTTTGGGGCAAATTTTTTTTAAAAAAGAATTGTGTTATGACTTGTTGCATTGTGTTATTTTGCACAGAAGACATTTTTGAGTTTCCTCTCATTCTAGTCGTGCTGAAAAAAGTAAAAACGCGACATGGGCAAAACAAAAAAAACAAAAGAAAACACCTACAAACGCTATGTTTTGCTATTCTAGGTTATTAAAAATCATCAATAACTAGATATCAACTGAAATCGTGGTAAATTTACCTCCCAGCTCTGAGTTAGAGCTCCAACAACAAAACGCTTTAATTTTGAAGGCCAACTCTCGCCACGTCCGGTTCTACTTCCGCCCCACAACTACCGCCAGCTTGACGCGGCAGCTCCGCCGCAGCTGTCGGGCCAGAAGGTAACGGCCTGAGTCTTCTGAGTGTCAGCTGTTGCTCCGTTAAAAATAAATAAAACCGCACACAAATCCCACGCTAGCCGGGGATTAAACAGCACCAGGCGCTCAGGCTACACGGGCCAAAGTCACCGGCTGGACATGTAGCATGTTAGCTACAAGTTCCACCAAAATAATGCAGCTCGGCTCTCCGGCTGGCTGCGACACAAACTTTACGGTGAACACAAGCCGACAACGGCACCGTAGCTGGGTTGTGTGTCCGTGCACCGGCGGTCCAGCTGCGGGTGGAGGCTGCACCGGGTGTCGCTGTGTACTAGCGGCCCGGTTTTTGTTGATATTTCACCGGGGGCAGGTAGCAGCCACAAGCCGAGGCCCCCCCTCCCTCCTCCCTCCACCGCAGCGGCCGCGGAGACACACAACAAAAGCCTCCTAAACAAAGCACAACCCCGCATGTGTGGACGACAACAAAACCAGCGACACATTCCGGTTTAAATAAAGTCGATAGATGTACATTTTCTTATAGAAACAGCTCGTCGCTGTGAGCTGGAGCGGCGTGCTCCGTGTAGCCTCATTGTCTTTGTTTTGACGGCGCAGAAGGGAAACGAGGACACCGTTTTAGCCCCGGTAAAAACCACACATTTAGCCCGAACAGCGACGAGACAGTTTAACAGGTGAATCTCAGCTGACACCGGAGATAAAACAACACCACGGGCCTGTTCTGTGTGCTGTCTGGGTCCAAAAAACAACAGACCTAATCCCAAACACTGACTGCGGAAGCTGCATCACCATGAGCGCAGTCTGTTTTTTTTTTTTTTTCTTTTGCAATAAATCCAGCGACAGTCGGTTCGCAGGCCCGCATCCTGACGCTAAAACCGGCCGTGTGGAGTGTGTTTCTGTGGCTGTCACACGGCGGCTCGACTCACCTCAAACCGGCTCCGTGAAACGCCGTTTACCTCCTTCCCCATGTCGGACGCTTGTGGCTCCAAACCGCCTCAGTGGATCCGGTGTGGGCGCAGTGAAATGCAGAGACGGGCCCTCTCCAAGCTGACCATGCTACCGTCCTCCCGGTGAGGCGATGTGTGTGTGTTTTTTTTTCCGGGGGCCTGTAACACAAAGCGCTTGTTTTCTGATTAAAAAAAAAAAAAAAAAAAAAAATACGGGTCAGAATCCAGGCAGCCAGCGGCAGCAGCGCAGCCAATAAGTCTCTTATCTGCTCGGTGCGTCCTCACCTCCTCCTCCTCCTCCTCCTCCTCCCCCTATAGCTACAGCTTTCTATCCATCCACACAAAAGCCCAGCTGGAAAACTGAGCCGCTACTGACTTTCCAAATCAACAATAATGCTCTGTATGTACCCAACGCACTCGCTTTTACTTCCTTACCTCCTGGCTGCTCCTTTAAGCAAAGCTCGGAGCAACGATAAATATCAAAGTGGGGTGTTAACCTTTTCACAGCACACGTAGCACCAACCCCTGACGCTTCAGTAGCACATATCATACATTAACAGCCACACCAAACTCAAATAGAGCCAAATTAGGTCATGTGAGGATAAAAACTACTCATAATACTTGTTATTTTCCTCTTTTTGGAGCCGTGCAACTACAGATCCATGCGCCATTACGCGCGTAAAAGCTCTTGGGTTTGTCCTTTTGTGACACATTAACAGTTTAAATACTCATTAACTCTAATCCGTCACAAACATACATTGGAACTTTTTCTTATTGCAGCAGGGGGAAACGCCACTTCCTTGTTTCAGTTTGGTTACCGCCCACTCGGACTCTCGGAGCCAATCAACGTCCAGGACCGGCCGTGCGTAACGATGCGTAACCTGCACCGGAGGAACACACGCTTGACAACAGCTCAATGTCGTCGGGAGTGCCACATTAAAACGTGTTTGCGTTTGATAAAAGTACCCGAGCAGTTTCAGGGCTCAGTCAAGCCCAAAAAATGTAAGATTTTGAGTTGATAAGTGCATAATTTCAAGTTATTTCAAAATAAAATTAAAATAAAATGTGAGGTTGTGTTACTTTCATTCTTTGCTCAGCCCATGATCCACATTCATATCACAGTGAGTGCAGACTCAGCAGTTCTCCAACTGTGTGCCTCGCATTAAGTCCTATTTATAGGAGTCACAGCTACATTAATACTTAAAAAAGTGCTCTAAATTTAATATCATATATAGCAATTTGGGTGACCAACCCTTTAAATAATCCAGGAGAAAGAACACAGGTGCTGGTGAGGAACAGGTGCTTGTCAAAAGCTCAATGTTGTTTTCAGTGCAACATTAATACCTATCTGCTTGTGATCAAAGTACCAGAGGCACTTTTGGGACCTTGGCACAGAATCTTTACATTTGGACATTACTTCAGAATAAAATAAAAATAAAAATGTTCTTTCTATGCTCTGCCAGTGTTCTACAATAACATCACAGTAAATGCAGGGCCCATTTGATCAATAGATGTCAAGGTATGTGCCTTGTTGTTAGTCCGATTTATGATAAGTTGCATCTAGAATCATGAGTAAAATATACCTTGGAAATACTTGCTTTCATCAATTTAATGTAGTAGTTTGGGTGGCCGGCCCTTTAAATATTCCAGAAGAAAAGATGCAACTGTTGGTGGAGGGAAAAGTTTACTCATTAAGTCAAATAACCCCAAATAAATTACTATCTATAGATGTATTTAAATTGCTGCCCGTATAGCTGATAAAAAATTCTGTCCATAGTCTAATGATAACTTATATAAATACAGCAAATTACATCAAAACAACGGTGCGTAACTACACTGGAGGAGCAAATGCTTGACAGCAGACTAATGCCATCTAGAGTGTCACATAAAAACATACCTGAGTCTGACAAAAGGAACAGACGCAGTGCTGGGATCCTCACACAGCGCAAGTTAAGCCAAATCCAGCAATCTTCAAATTCTAACCTATAATTGCACCATTTTCAAGTTATTTAGGGTTAATTAAATTAAAAAATTCAGACACTGTGTTCTTGGTAAATCAAAATCACAGGCTACTACTTTCTTTCTAGCTTCAGTCTATATTCCAGGCAGCTACACCAGCTGTTCTCAAACTGTGTATTTTGGAATTAGTCTTATTTATGTTGATTTACTCAGCTTGAGTCATATGTAAATATGGGCCTCAGAAATAAAGATAAACTTTATTGATCCATCACTGGAGAAATTCACACATTACAGCTGCTCAAAAGACATTAGCAGAAGGTGGAAAAAAGACAAAATATACAAAAATACCATAAAAAGAAATACAAAAAATAAAGATAATGAAGACTATATACACTATGTGCACCTTTCACATATACAGATACAAGATGATAGATAATTGCACCCAAAAATTGTAAAACACACACACTCTAGAAAGAAAAAAATATGATTTACTTTTTTGTTTAGACAAACCTTTTAAGTTGCAAACAATATTTTGATGAGTCATGTTGCCATATTAAAGTTGGTAAGTAAGCCAACTGAATACAATGTGTAATTTATTGTAAAATCTCTACATTGATTGAATGAAAAAATAATAATAATTCAAGTTGTAGTAACTTAAATTGTCTTTTCTCCATCTTGAGTTCAGGATTTTAAACTTTAAAACTTATGTTAATGCGTACACCAATTATTTCATTATTATATAAGTTACCGGTCATTTTAAATACCTTTAATAGTAGAAAAAAAACTCAGTGCAGTTTGTTGGTTGAACAGAATTTCAGCAGAAGTTGTCAAAACTCAAAAAGATCAGGTTATTTCTAGTTGTTGAGGCTGAATGTATGTCTTCAGGATGAATGGCGTGTACAGTCGCACGTCAAAAGTTATACAGAGGCAATAGATATGATTGCACATTGTTACACACAGGAAGTTGGACAGTATAAATGTAATAAAAGTTCTGCACGGGACAATTATAAAGTGCAAGAGTAAAACATATAAAAACACAAGAATATCTATAAAGGGTATCGTGTATGTAAGGATACAGGTTTATGCAATATTTTTAAAAAATAGTTGAATAATACTTGCCTCCATAAATTTTACTTAATAGTAATTTTTGTGATCGATCTTTTATATAGGTCAGGAGAAGAGATGCAGGCGTCAGGGGAAAAGTTCACCCATAAAGTCCAATAACACAACACTTCAAATAAACGCTGAGTAATAATCAGAGTGTTGCTAATAAAGGCCCATAGCCTGATGATAATTTATCTAACTACTTACAATAAAGTAATAAAGTGTGAGTTTAGTGTCACCCAGCTACCTGTTGCCATATTTTGTTGGTTTCTTTAACGATTAAAGAAGTCACACTCAATATGAAGTTAAAGGAAACATTTCTAGTGTCACTGCTTCAACTATCCTCCTGTGAGACTGAAAAAATGTCCAAAACAAAAGTCTTGGCAGACTGTTTACACTATTACGTGCTATTTGACAAAAAAATGTATGAAACTCATTATTAAAAAATGGTAG